CGCGTTCGCGCAAGTCACAAAAAGCTGGTGCGTGCACTTGCTAATCTATAGATATTTTACAGGCTTAATCATACGTACAGATGATTCGATTCCGTACATGTTCCGTACAGACGGAAGCGCACGTACGGGTAATTCACCTAAAACCTAAAAGGATGTGTCAAAATTTACAAATACACAGGTTTTCGAGAGATTGGAGAAGCAGTACCATTCAATAACAAGTCTGATAAAAAAAAACAAAGAAATAACTTCATACTTTCGGATATAAGTTTATCACAATATATTCATTAGATAATATAGATTCCGAAGTATATCACGGGATTAGGTATTATACTTTCTGCACTATAAAACAAGGCTTCCTAATTTAAAAATTAAATGTATCTAGTACCTATATCTACCAATATAAAATGTCAAATAATTCTATACTGGTTAAAATCAACACAACTGCTTAAAATCAAACATTGCAATAGTATGATTGCCGTATATTTGGGCGCTGTTCACACGTTTATTTACATTTAAGATAGCATTTTTACTTGAATTACAACGCTCGTAATATTGTAGATCATGTATTTGCCCACAAAAATGTGAAAATTGTTCCATTAAATATGCGAAAACGTATCCCCGAAACTTTTATTCATTTTCCTGTTTCAAACTTCAAGTTCAAATTTCTCTCATAAGTTTATTTTATAATCTTACTGTTTACTATACAGATATCTAATCTTAAAAAGTAAACACATTAATGAATTTGACATCAGCTTACATACCTTAATTTTCAATCTCAATCATTCTTTAAATAATCGACTATACAAAAATACAGTGTGCATACACTATTGTACACGCGAAAGGAAAATTATTATTCTGGTTTCAACATTCCGGAAGTTTCTTGTAAGGGTCAAGATCACAGTAAATGAAAAATAATTACTTGGGAAAATAACATAATGCCGCTCAGAGATAAATAAAAAAATAATTACTAGTGATAACAACAATATCGCTCAGAGATAAAATCAGATCAATTATCTCCTTGGCCCATCGCCACTTCTAAATACAAGATCTGTTTTGTAGGGAAAGAACGAGCTATTGTTTATATTGGAGATCTTATCGCTATAATTGCTCCGAGACCAAGACCGTAGCAGAGGTACACGCCGACTCCTCTCCTATTCAATCTCCACTCAGCGATGGTTTTTTAACATTAACATTTAACATTAACAGAAAGGAGCTTTTTTAACCAATAACATTCATATCACACACAAATGACCCGTAGATGTTGACAGTAACATAAGATTTGATGAGGTTACAGGTATCTTCGCAAACAACCGCAGTTGGAATTTCTTTATCATTTTGAGAAAGCAGATCTTGCGAAATTTCGTCATGTTGAAATCAATCTTCAGATGGTAGAGATAACAATAAATAATTGCAAACAAATCAAAGCTCTCAACTCCTGAATCAAAAAATTAAAACCAGAACTGCACATGCCCTCCGCGACGATCGTCACTGCCAAAAGGAGGAGAGGAGTTTTTAATTAATGATGTTTAACAGAAGGAAGTGCAGACTGTTGAAAAAGATTTTTTTCTTACTGAAGACAGTCATTGATTTACAACACCAGATACAAAAACATTAGACACGCTTCCTTCCTTTCTGCTATCGATTTTTCGCACACGGCCAATGCAGAACAGCGACACAACTATAAATAGATCAAGCTGAACCATAAGATACAATATAGAAGCAAAAGTCCTGAAAAGTAAAAAAAAATCTTAGTTCATTCCAGACATATCAAATCAAAAATGATGATTTGTCCGAACTCCAGTCCACCTTCACACCAATAGCTGGATACAATTTCAGAAGAAAGCTAAAAAAATCATCTAAAAGCTAACACAAATCTTAAAGAGAGAGAAGTATCAGCCCGGAAACTCTTTTCAGGTTCACACTGTATTAAAATATCACTACAATAACTATAACTATGCAGCCTATGCCGCTTCATGAGGCGCTCAACTCACGGGTGGCCAATTATTAAAATAATCTGCACATTTTACCATTGTACACGATGTTTCCCGTAACAAAATAATATACGAAAATAAAAACCGCGGAAATATTGCAGAACAGCCAAAACATACAATTCTATTTTGTTGAAGGCGTCTGTCGCCGGAGTCTAGCTCTTGGCAGGCCAGGTAACGCCGCGTTCTAGGCAAAGTTGCCAACATTTCGATTATATTATGGCCTTGGACTGAAACGCTGGCATGATACCTAAGGCGACCGGCCGGCAGAAACATTTTTTTTACCGACAAGCTATCTTAAAACCATCTTTAAACGATGTTTTTTATCAACGAACCATCCTAATTCTATATATTTTTTTATCAAAGTACTCGAATCCTTGGTGCCGTCGTGAGAGTGCCTTGGCCCCCTGTGCCCCGAGCGCCTCCGCTGCGCCGCGCTGCACTTGGAGGAGGGATGCCACTTCGACGTCCATGTTCTTAGAGGAACTTGCATTTAAGCTAAAGCCGATGCTTTTAATCTATGTTTTTTCAACTCGATCTTTTGTTCGTAAAAATAAAATTTCCAGAATACTAATTTTGTATGAATTTAAAGGCAGTAACTGATGCCAATTCGTGTGCCGCACACTGAACTACCTTCACTGAACAGACTATCTTTCATCCGAGAGGTGAAGACCGAGCCTTGGTATTTTTGTTTTCTAATACTTCACACGAGAGGCAGTAAATGTATGCGCGGAAGGGGGGACGGGCATTCTCCTCTCCAGATTTAGTTTTCTTAATTCTTTTTACTTGTTCAATCTAAATCACAATTTAGACAAACACGACAACCGCCAAAGTAAATTTTCTCCTCCATGAACACTGATGTCAGATTTAAGTAAACCAGATTTAAAAGCATTACGATGCAAATTTAATTTCAAAGCAAATGATTGATTTTTTTTGTAATATTAATAACCATGTTTTAATTTGTTTAATCATCAGCCCTGTATTCGGATTAATGGCAATGGACGCGCGCGCTGTCTGTCGCATCCGCAGTTCGAGGACGAGCGGCGGCGCCGAGAGGAGCGGGAGGACAACTGCGGGCGGGGCGGCGGGCGGGGCGCCGGGCGCGCGCGCAGCCGCTAGGCGCGGGCCGCAGCTCACCTTCGTCCGCCGACAGGTCCGAGAACTTGATGCCGCCGCTGCAACACACAACGCACAACATGTTCCAGCAAAGGCGCGTCTCGCTACGGCGCGAGGGCGGAGGAGTGGGCAGCCACGGGGCGCCACCGCCCACCGCTCCACCCCCGCACACGCCGCAATAAAGCCGCCTTGAACCGCGCTTAACACCCCCTGCATTTTCCTTCTAAAATTAACATTAACACTATGCCGATTTCACACGGGGATACTCGGCGGCGAAAAGCCCTGGACCCCTTCACAGTCAACCACCCCGCCAGCTCCGCAGATCGTGGGAAAGGGACGGGGATTCATGTGTCACTGCTGAGGTCGCAGGTGGTTGACATTCAACATGTTGTAAATGACCGGGATAATGGCACTTCGAGTGGGGTAGAGTGAATGCTGCGATTTATAATTCTCGTCTGCTGGAGATGGGGCGTCTGCATTACTGACCGTAAGCGCAGTGCTTTCGCGCCGCGCATGTGTATTCCTTAAACCAAAGCTTTACCAACAGCACTCTGAATCACTGCTGCGTGGCTCTGTAAAAAGGGACCCTTGTGTAGCAGGGTTACAAAACGTTTCTCTATCTGAGCGAGTTTACTGTTTAGATTTTTGGTTCACCATTTGAAAGTGAAACTACTGATTATGTAAGCATTTCTTAACTGATAAAATAATGTAATTTTTTCAGTGATTTAGTTTGAAGGTTTGTCATCGCCAGTTTATTTACACATTTATTTATTTAATTCATTTAAAAACAATTTTAAACCAGAGCATACAATCCTCAGTACTTAAAAATTGTTTACATCAAAAATAATTTAAAAATCAAACAATCCCAAGATTATTGAAATGCATACAATTTTAATAATAATTATTTCAGCATTTTATTTGTAGAGAGCGTATCTTACGTCCTCACGTTTGTTTACTATTTTCTGGAAAGGCAACCGGCAACTTTAATATGCACAATACATTATTAAGAGAACTAGACTAGTTTACAGTGAAAGTGAAACACAATACTCTAAAACGCACAGCCTCTGTGTTTGCTGTTCTTGATGCAACCTATAGAGTTCTCTTCGCCCTCAAGATTGATCAAAACTGAAGTGTTTTTGCAGCAAACTGTGAAGCATTGACCATTTTACGGAGAACAATATTTGGAAAATGAACTTAGTTCATACTTGTCTCAAAAAGTGTATTGCAGATAGTTTTACAATACGGCAATCTTACGAAAAAATGAATTGCCGCACAATATACGGCCAACGACTCTTAGAAATATGAGAAGAAATGGAAAATTTTCTAGATTTTTCAGATTAATTTTGGGTTTTAAAGAAATATTTTAATACCGTTCAAAATTGCATTATTTCATATTAATGTTTAAAAGTATTATGAAAACGACGGAGGCACACCTTCGGTTTATTTGTTACCAAGAGCTTTAAAACAATGTGGCTCCTAAAGTGTTCTTTGTCACTCACTGCCCAATGCCCTTACGTTAGTAAATGGTAATCCCAACAGAAAATTGAATTTCTACACTAATGTAACGACTATTTTATATCGTTTCCCAAGATCCGATTATTCGGAAACATAATATTTGCATGTTTCATGTGATCAAGACATATCACAAGGAGCTTGGAAGTAGGCTTTCTATTACAGCTACAGATACTTCACATATATAATTATGAACTAAGTGGCCTGTGGCAAATATTTAAGAGAGGGCGGTCTCTTCCTTGGAGCCTTGCTGTCACATGACGTAGATTTGTCACGCGCAGTAACGCACTGCGTATGAGAGTTCCGTCGGCACGCGCAGCACGAGAATAGGCGGAATAACAGTCAGAATAGAAACTCATTATTTTCAGATTTTCCCCAACTACCTGGGTATCTGACGAAACCACAGGCAATACTCAGATGGCTAAAGGCAGCACATGTTTCTTTCAATTTCTGAGGGCATGGAAATTCCTAATATGTATTTGGATTTTCCCCGAGTTCCTGGATATCTAACGAAATCATAGATGCAGGTCTCACGGCGGGAGGTTCAATATTCTTTCAATTTCTGCCTGGATTGGAAATTAGAAATAAAGAATTTTCGAAATGAATACGCCATATAAACATCGAAATCGATAAATGAAAACATTCAATAGCGATTATACTGTACAGGTATATTATTTCTAGCCAGTTAAAATGTTCAGTGCGGTAAGTCACATTACCCTCTCAGGTATTGACTTAGAAAGAAAGTCCATAAAAAAAGAGTTTTGAAAAAGGATGAATGATAGGGCTCAGAGCTGTGTAAGCAATAAACTAAGGAATGCCTTTTATAAATGCACAAAGTTTAATAAACCTCAAGGTTATCTTATGCCAGATAACTGAAAAGTTTGTTTTGATCGTGCACTCAACATAATACCACAGTCTTATCAGCGTGATAAAAGGCATTCAACATAAACGAATAAAACATTATGATGGCTTATTTTGTGGGTCGACGTTTATAAAATATAACTTTAACTACCCTGCAGAATAGCCTCGACAATCATATTCCATGTTTTTGGTGGGAAGAGGGACAAGACTCAAAGTAAATCATTCACAGAGACGGGATTGAAGGGTGACGGCAAGGTGGGGGGGGGGGGCATATGCATCCCCCAATGTTGGGACAAATTAAAAAAAAAATTAGATATTTCATTTCGCGGATATTCAAATTTATATTATAACAGATTTATTTTTTTCTGTATTCCGAAAAACATTTAATCCCTATAGAGTATTTGAGTAACTGGGAGTGTGCCTGAGTGCGTGCGGAACCGTCACTCCCGGTTAGACCACTTCCCGTGCACTAATCGAAACGGTCTCCTGGTGAGTAACTGATTATGTTTCCGGATCCGGACAGAAGTTTCCAAAAACATGCTTTTGCGTGTGTTAGCGCTGCCATCTTAGTGCGTACGCCGGGAATTAAACCAACCCCACCCAAATAGATCTATGTAGGTTACGTTGAATGCGACAAGGGAATCGCCATGCGGCAGATCCCATTTAATTTGCATCCGTATTAACGTATTTAATATAAGAACTTCAGGTAAATACGGAGAAAACCAAACTGTGAGTAATGCACCAGAAGCATATTTACGTTCCTACTTCTCACATTTACATTAAGCGTGCAAAAACTCGATTTTCAAATGTGACCAAAAAAGTATTTAACTAAAACGTAACTAACACCTTTCTCACATAACCAAACAAACCAGTCGCCTTTTAATGTTCATAAAGGTTCAGATACAAAACGATAAATAGAGTAATTGCAGAAGTAGAAGTGCACACAATTAGACTGACTTTGTGGAGTTTTAATCTCTTCAAAATTAGGGACAAAAGTATGGAAGTGTTAAGGAAATCGGCGAAGAATAAAATGTAATTGGAGAAGATATCACGACATAATTTTCGGAACAAATTGACAATGATCTTATTAGAGAATAATTCTGAAGAGCAGCTTACATGTGATTTTCATGTGCATTTTTGTTCATATTATCAAAAAACGCCTAAAAATGTATCTGTACTAAAGTCTAAGCATTCAGCATCATTCATACCTGCAAGTATTTTTTCGCCGATTATAATTTTGAAATTGCCATATTCAATTTAAGTTTATATCCCCTATGAAGGTAACATACAATGCCACTGGGGGGTTGGAAATTTTTAAACAAGAGCAAAACATTAATAGCTACTACGATTCATTGGTATGTCCAATGCTCGAGTCTGTGAGAACTAATTTGAACAAGGCTATTTATGACATAAACGCTCAACACGTGAAAATACATTTTTAACCGTTTATAGCGTCGGCAACGCCACAGTCAACTGGTCCCCACATAATATTTGAGTAACTGCGAGTATGCGTCTATGCAGATCCGTCACACTCGCTTAGACCACTTCCCTTACACCAAACGATACAAAGTGTCGTTCAACGCACCTCGGTCTCCTGGTGGAGAACTGATCATTTGTTTTTGGATCGGGCGAGAATATTGTAAGAAATTTCCAAAAATTTGTTTTATTGTGGCAACCTTATTAAATTTGAAGAACTTCAAGCGAATGCGGAGAAAACCAAACCGTAGGTAATACTAATAAATGAAAGCACATTACGGGTGGCTTTTCAGTTACGTTCTTTAGTGTGAAAATTCCTATTTTCAAATGAATGTGACTAACAACTTATTCTTTACAAACTTAACACCTTATTCACATCAACATACAAAAAAAGTCGTCTTTTAATGTAAAAGTTTTAATGTTTTAATACAAAACAACCTACAAAAGGGTAAAAAGAAATTGCATAAATAAAAGTTAATACAAATTAGACTGAGTTTGTGGAGTTTTAATCTTTTCAAAAATTAGGAGACCAAAATATGGAAGCGGACAGAAAATCCGGAGAAGAATCAAATGTAGTTTTGGATTTTGGGACAGAATTTTCGGAAGTAATTGAAAATAATCTTATTAGAGAAAAAAAATATGAAGAATAGCTTGCGGGTGATATTTTATGTGCATTACGGTGTATATTAGCAAAACACCATTCAAAATGGGAGCTGTACTAAATTCTAACCATTCACACCATCCGTACCCTAAATTGAATGTAATAGTCTAAAAGCATATTTTATTGTAATGTACATTATTGTTTGGAACTGCAAGGAACATACGTAAATTAAGATTTAATAAATTATTTCCATTACAAATATCCTACCGTTTTTACTATCTCGAATGCCGAAAAATAGGTGCCTCTAACGAAACAATGTTTTGTGGGCCCGCGATGCGATAAAAAATAATGTTTTCCAGCATTATTTGTAATCTATGGAAGCATAGTCAGCAAACGGAAAATTTTAGGTCGTTTAGGTTGTTTGAAGCCAAGTGTACACGGAGAAAAAAGGGAACTTGTTATCTTCACTTAATATGTTCTGTTATATTCAATGTGAGAGTAATTTCTCTTTTGTTATTGTAAAAGCGAATCTTTTGTTTCAATCATAATGTAGGCGCCATTATTAAAAAAGTTTCATTGGTTTTTGGACAACAGAACAATTTTCATTACAAATTTAAAATAAACACTCAAATAATTGCACTGAACTGTTGCAGCCATTTTCAAAGTGTATATGATTTAAAATTGAATTTTTTTAACTGCAGCTCAGCAAGCGAAAAAAATATCAAACATTCACGACGTTGTGTGTTTTAAGAACTTTTGAGATTTGTTTCAAGTGTGTTCCGAGGTTCTAATACAGTAAAAATATTTTTGTTACTTTCAAAAAAATTGAATTTGGCCGTGAGAAAATATCAAAAAATATTTCTGATAGTATATATTTTTCCGCACATTTTTTCAATAC